TGACCCACTGCCAAACCGGTCATGCTGGAAATTGTTGCATGCAGCAGAATGTTCTCCTTTGCGTCTCTGGACTCTGTCACGTCTGTTACATGTGCTCAGTGTGAACCTGCTTTCATCTGTGAATTTGCCAATCTGGGTGTTCTCTGGCCTAATGCCAAACATCCTGCACGGTGTTGGGCTGTAAGCACAACCCCCACCTGTGGACGTCGGGTCCTCATACCACCCTCATGGAGTCTGTTTCTGACCGTTTGAGCAGACACATGTACATTTGTTGCCTGCTGGAGATCATTTTGCAGGGCTCTGGCAGTGCTCCTCCTGTTCCTCCTTGCACAAAGGCAGAGGTAGCGGTCCTGCTGCTGGGTTGTTGCCCTCCTACGGCCTCCTCCATGTCTCCTGATGTACTGGCCTGTCTCCTGGTAGCGCCTCCATGCTCTGGACACTAAGTTGACAGACACAGCAAACCTTGCCACAGGTCGCATTGATGTGCCATCCTGGATGAGCTGCACTACCTGAGCCACTTGTGTGGGTTGTAGACTCCGTCTCATGCTACCACTAGAGTGAAAGCACCGCCAGCATTCAGAAGTGACCAAAACATCAGCCAGGAAGCATAGGAACTGAGAAGTGGTCTGTGGTCACCACCTGCAGAACCACTCCTTTATTGGGGGTGTCTTGCTAATTGCCTATAATTTCCACCTGTTGTCTATCGCATTTGCACAACAGCATGTGAAATTGATTATCACTCAGTGTTGCTTCCTAAGTGGACAGTTTGATCTCACAGAAGTGTGATTGACTTGGAGTTACATTGTGTTGTTTAAGTGTTCCCTTTACTTTTTTGAGCAGTGTATATATTTTCACTATATGCACTTGTTGTTTGTGGACACATTTATTGTTTTGCATTAGGGCTTGATGACTGCTGGGAGATATGGGAAGTGTTACTATGTAGGTAATTTGGCATATAGAAGTCCAAAGGTTGATGCTAAAACTGCTACTCATCATTGCCTAGAGTCACTGTCACAGCAAACTGGGCTATAACTACAGGTGGGAGCGCGGTCAATACTGTATTGGTTGTGTATAAATGGTGCCAGCTGTGGTATGACTACTGGCCAGGGTTAAATGGGTTCTCAAAGCCAATGGTTTAAGTTTGCACAATTTATTTGTAGTCCCGTGTAATCGGAAATTTAAGCCACTTGTGTTCTGTGGGGTCCTCTCCCTATTTAGAGCTTCTTGTTTGATGAGAAATTGTGTGTTCCTGTTTCACACTTGTGAAATATAAATGCAGGCAGGCTTATTTATTGAAATGATTTTTTATTTATTTTATTAAAAACACCTTGGACATTACTGGGTGATCCCTAACCCTGGACTGGTTGGGGTACCTTGCGGACGGTTTTCAGGACCACTGACATCTAATTATCTATGCAATATTGATATGATGATGATCTCTTTATAAAGAGGCCTTTTCTAAGAATAAGAATGTAATCTAAAAACCTGATCTTCATGAATCAAACTCTAAATTCAAAAAAGTGTGGATAAGGACCAGCGCTTATTAGTTAGATATTGATATACCAATGTATAGATAGTTATTATTAGCTGCTATACGTTCATGTGATTCCTTACAGTATCACAGATACAAAATACAAACAAGAAAAGAAAATAGCGCTTTAGTAATAAATTAATGAATCGCCTTTTTGGTTAGGAAGAATAATGAACACACGGTTCAAATGTCTCTGTGTATACACCCGTACAGAACTACCCCCCGGGGGCAAGACCCAGGGTGTACCGACAGATGTCCCACAGAGACCAGTGTACCAATATGGGACTCCAGAGATCCCAAACGGGGCTTAACCCCAAGGAAAACAAAAAGAAAAATATATAGCACAATGCGGTTCGTCTTCCTATGTCATAGGGACTAACCACATATCTGGAAATGTCTATCGCAATATAGCGTCTAATGAAAAAATAACTAAAGACCCAAAAACAAAAAAAGTCAAGTAAAGTATATACAAATGTGACTCAGATTCCATGCCAAATAGAGAGGGTATGTGTGGGGATAAAATTCAGCCATCCAATATGCTATCAAGAACCCTAAATTATCAGCTTTATTGTATTGTTGCACTATAAGGGTATGAAAAGCAGACGGCTATGTCCCCAACTGAATACCCCACTCCAAATTGTCAGTAGTTAGTATATAAAAAATGCTCACAATAGAGCTAGTAAAGGTAGAGTGGAGAGATAGAAAATGAAAAACAGATCGGTATTCAGTCTAAAAGCAGACTGGTATTTGCATTTAAACAAAGCCTCTCTCCCTGTAAATCTAACTAGACAGGGATAGGAAATAAATAAGAAAAAAGGAAGGTGTTAAATATAAATCATGGTGCTACAATCACCAGTGCCCAGTGCTCATATAGAAGATATGAGAAGGAGATGCCCGACGTACGTTTCGGTGCTATAGAGGAGCACCTTCGTCAGGGGCCAACAGAAGACTAGTTAAGGGTCTATTAAATACAAGAATTATCAGGAGGCATGGATGTCTTGGACCAATAGGGTCTGGGGGTGTACATACCCAGCTGTGTATAATCTCCAATCTAATGTTCATGTCCTGGTGAATCACGGAGTGCGTCTGGGGGCGGGGCTAAGTGCCGAACACGTGACCGGGTATACTGTGGATCATGTGTTTTGGCCGGCCGAACGGAAAGCCGGCAGGGTCACGTCGTGGGCGTAATTAAGTATGTAAATTATGCGGCAGACCAGGTTTTTTCAGAACAAGAACTAACTAATGTGTCAGATAGTGATAATATTATCTCATCATTTAATCGTTTGACCAACCTGTTTCAGCAAGAGATCAAAACAGGATGGGAAATTGCATCACTTGACAACTATTTAAAGAAAGATCTTATCCCTAGGGGTCTAAGGGTACAAAACATACCAGCATCCCATATAGAGGAGGAGGAATTTACCAAAGAGTGGGAGGAAGCTGCAGCAATATGCTCTAAGAGATTTATGGAGATACTTTGCAAATTTGAAACAAAAAGACTAGAAAGAGTTAATAAGGAGGTGGATGAGCAGATTAATAAGATTGCAGCCTTTAAAGACGAACCAAACTTTGAATCATTGGAGACAAAACTTAAAAATAACTTGGACAAATTCCAGCAAAATATTAAAATTCGGAAACACTCCAAGTTTATTAGAGACAACAATGATTTCAAGAGTGGGAATGTATACAAGAAAAATAGAAACTTTAGGAGGAGCTTTTCTGAACCAATATCTACATCAGAGTATGAGACGAGTGGTTCGGATTCAGAATCAGCAAAGGGGGGACCTTCAGTTCCATTTGAACGGAATACTAAGAGTATATTGAAAAGAGGGGTTTCTTTTTTAGGACAACCCACTATGGAAGAAAATATAGCCACATCTGAGTCACATTTGTATATACTTTACTTGACTTTTTTTGTTTTTGGGTCTTTAGTTATTTTTTCATTCGACGCTATATTGCGATAGACATTTCCAGATATGTGGTTAGTCCCTATGACATAGGAAGACGAACAGCATTGTGCTATATATTTTTCTTCACCTTTTTGGTTAGGTTAGGAGGAAGATTTCCACTTGTATGTCAGATTTATAGATATATATAGGAAACAATTAAACATAGTATAGATCATACATAACAAGGTGGTATATTCGAATGATGGTGTATATGCACTCACAAACGGAGAGCTATGGACCCAGCTCTGGTTTGGATCGTTTCTGGGTCCGTTTAGGCAACCCACCCCTATTTTCAATATGGATCTTGTTCTGGGTGCTGTTAGGAGGAGGAGAGGTCCAGGCTGCAGGAAGGTGTAGTTTTTTAGTTTGTATAGCTCTGCTGGTAAAATCCCCACCTGTGATATAGCAGGAACCAGGATCAGCAGCAAAAACAATAAAATAGGACATATATATATTAAAAAACAAACAAACATAAGAATAAAAAAGTATAAGTTTCAGTTGAAACAAATATATGCAAAGTGAAAATGGCTCCAATACACACTTTACGCGTTTCACCCCTCAGGGGTGTTTTTGCTGCTGATCCTGGTTCCTGCTATATCACAGGTGGGGATTTTACCAGCAGAGCTATACAAACTAAAAAACAACAACAACTTCCTGCAGCCTGGACCTCTTCTCCTTCTAACAGCAACTGACCCAGAAACGATCCAAACCAGAGCTGGGTCCATAGCTCTCCGTTTGTGAGTGCATATACACCATCATTCCAATATGTTGCCAGCATTCTGGGAGATGTACTCCGTGACATCCGGAGTGCCAAATTTTGCCTATCCCTGATATACAATATATTGACTAATTGCAAAAAAAACCAAAAAACATTTTTGTACTTTCATACTGTTGTATTATGAATTACATCTGATAGTGGCTATAACCTTTCTTTTTACTTCCAGATACCCTCCTGTTTGCCGTGAATGGCAACGTTGCCAGAGTTGGATTACCTCCTAACGATCCCTTGGATGGGTTTGATGCCAGATCTAAAACTGTAGGGAAGCTGAATCATGTCAGCAAGTTTGCCTTTAACCCAGAAGGGGTGCTGTTTGCTGTGCATAGTACAGAGCTCTTCGCAGGAGCTATGCCTTCAGATCCAAACCTGGACTGGTTCTCTAATGCGAAGAGAGTGGGCAAAACCAACTGGGATGGGTTAAAATTTCTCTTCTTTGATCCAAATGGCATTTTGTATGCAGTTACCAAGAAAGGGGAGTTCTACAAAGGTCCTGCGTCAAGCAGTGAAAATGTGTCCTGGCTTTATGTCCAAGCCACCAAAATAGGAACCGGAGGCTGGAATGAATTTGATGCCCTTTTCTTTGACCCTAAAGGCATCCTGTATGCAGTGACAAGTGATGACAAGCTTGTGATGAGAAGCCCCCCAACCAAACCATATGATAACTGGCTTGGCTCCAGCACAACCATTGGAAATGGAGGCTGGTGCATCCTCACCCATTTCATGGCTTTCTCTCCAGAGTTTGACCTGTGGTGTGTGGATTCAAAGAATGGAAACATCTATAAAGGATGAGCCCCGACCGTTAATAATACCAGCTATCTGAAGAATGCACAGAAGCTGGGCTGGGATTACAATATGTATCCCCTCCTTTCCTTCACAATTGATAAAACCATCCAGTGCATTGTCGGCTTTGAATTCCTGCCAGGTTCCGGGAAAATTCTATCGCAAGGCACAGAGGTGGTGCAGAGCCAGATCTATGTGAACAAGAGCAGCACTCCATTAAAGCACACCTTCTCATGAATATAACCATGTTATGGAAAATATTCAGAGTGCATTATCTACTGCCTCATGTTATGTGCCTTCTTGCTCTTTTAGGTTCTCAAAGACCATGACTGAGAGCAGCACCTTCAGCCAGGAACATGGATTCACGGTGGCTGTTGGTGCAGAGATGGGCTTTAAAGCTGGAGTCTCATTCATAGGAGAAATGGAGACCAAGATTTCCATCAATGCGAGCACAACTCATACCTGGAACTTCACCAAGACCAATGAAACCCAGGTAACCCAGGATGGTATATTAGGGGCTCCTCTAATAATTAACCAAAGGGGCAAAATTAAGAAAAATACATTTTTAAAAATATTTTTTTATCTTTCAGCAGTTTAGCTGATGGCTCCCTTATTTTTCCATTCTTAAATATTTCAATTTCACTTAAGGATGGCAAATTTGAAATTAAAATATTACTAAATATACTAAACAGCTGACAAACCAAAATTAAAGGCGTTTTCTCTTTACTGTGTTTAGTAGTTGGCCCTAATCTGGCAGCATTAAAAGGTTACTTCAACCTGGAGAATAAACATATAATATTTATATATTTTTTTCATTACAAATTCACTATGTGACATAACTAATAGGTACTGCCCTGTAACAAAAGTTGTACACTTGCCTTTACCCAGCACCAGGTGAATCTCCTGGCACTTGCATGGTCCAATAACAGGCTTCTTCTGTGATTGGACTGTTTCGCCACTGTGCAATGTGTGCAATCTAAGCTGGGGAAAGATTATAAGAGTTATTCTGTTTGGGATTCTGTTTGGGGGGTGGGGAGGGACTGTGAATCTGTGCACAGGGGCGTAGGCAGGAACAGTAACCAGGTACATAGAAACAGACCAGGACAAATCCAGAAGAGTAGTCAGGCATGGTATCAAAAAGGTCAGGGCAGGTGGCAACAGTCATTAACGAATAAACCAAAAGCAGGGGTCACAAACCAAGTCAGTCTTCGGATACAACATACATGAAACAACAAACTTACTATGTTCTCAGGGAGGGGCAGTGTTTTATGCCCAGCTAATGAGTGATCTGCTTCAGGTTTCAGGTGAACTTTGATTGACAGGTAGGAGCCACTAGTGAAGGCCAGCCCCCTAGTGCTGCAGGCAATGCCAGGAAAACAAGGTTAGATCCAAAGTTCAGAAGTGGATCAGTCTTAGGATGCAGAAGGCCCCAGGTTCAAATCCCTTGTTGGGCCCTTCTGGGGCAACCATGTATGGATGTCACGGAGAGAACTGTGACACAAACTCTGCCAAAACCTGAAATAGGCAGGGTTATTTACTTGCCTTTGGGATTGTTCTAAGATAAGGTAATTTTGGAAAGAAATGTTGCTAAAGTTGTCCATTTTTGGTATGTCTCTTGGCATGGCCTCTAGATTTATTTAAATGGTCCTAGGTGTTGCCAGACTATCCATATATGATCTCACAAGATTTGCCCACTTTATCTTTATATCTTACATGTTTAAATTTGACTGAATTGAGACCCCAATAAAAGAAGCACAGGGCTTCCCCTTGTGTTTTGATTTTTAGGTTTAATACTGGCTGAGGTAACTGGTACAGTGTTAATTTTGGCAGCAAATTTAAATTTAGTTTTCGTCATAGTCTTTTGACTAAAAAGACATTTTAGTTTTAGTTGTATTTTAGTCATCTGAATTGTTTTAGTTTTAGTCTAGTTTTATTCGACTAAATCTCCAGTAGATTTCAGTCGACACAACTAAAATCTAATGGGTTTAGGCTCTGTCTCTTTTGCCACTTCCCCAGCACATCTGTGCAGTGGCGTATACATGACCCATGGGGCCGTGGTGTGAAAATATGCCGGGAAGGCAGTGTGAAGTACAGGGAGAGGAGAGCAATGTCCTCCCTCCCCAGCGATAGGCTGGGTTACAGGGGGCAGAGGTAGTTGTTCCTGCCCCCCAGCAGCCAAGTGATATGCCGGGAAGGCAGTGTGAAGTCCAGGGAGAGGAGAGCAGTGTCCTCCCTCCCCAGCGGCAGCGTGATTTTTTGGGAATTGGGAGCCCAGTCTCCATTCCCCAGCGGCAGTGTGATGTACCGGGAATTGGGAGCCCAGTCTCCATTCCCCAGCGGCAGTGTTATTTGTTGGGAATTGGGAGCCCAGTCTCCAGTCCCCAGCGGCAGAGTATCCAGCAGGGAATAGAGAGCCCAGTCTCCTTTCCCCAGCAGCAGGACTCTGTATTGGGAGGAGAGGCAGTCGGTCTCCCTCCACGGAGGCTGGAAGTATGTATGGGAGAGGAGCTTGTTACCCCCTCTCCCCAGCGGCAGCTTAGCCCACCAAGGGGAGACAGTAATCTCCACAACAGTGCAGATGGGACAGTGGTCTCTGCACATGCACCACCGGGGGTAGGGACAGTCGGTCCTGTCCCCCAGCAGCAGGACTGTTTAGGCAAAGGGGAGACAGTCTGTCTCCCCCTCCAGCAACCAGGCTCCAACCAGACTACTCCCGTGGTAGTGCTGGCACCAGGACAGAGTACCGCTGGTCTCTGCCCACTCAGCAACCCACCCAGTACGCTTACCAGTCACCCACACAGCCATGGTGAGGCACCTGGACACGGACAAAGTTCTCCTCTACCCAGGTGTAGTAGCCAGTTATTGTGGGTGGGCTGTATTACTGATTGTGTTTTGTGGGTGGGCTGCTGGACTAACAAGGGCACTGACCGGCAGGAGGTCAGATACCCTGTTAGTCTGATTGGTAAAGGGGAGAAGTGTGGCGGAACCAACCTCGCCACTATGCACTGGAGAAGCCTGGTTGCCAGCCTCCTGCCATGTGACTATGGCCCTGGGATGTATTGCCCTTTAAAGACATGATTTGGGCATAATGGATTTGTGTTTTGCTGCTGCTAGCCCTTTAAGAACCATCTGGGGACATACTGTGGAGTTACTGGGTGGCCACCATTTCCTGTATCAGAAGCACATGGTGAGAACAATGGATGGCGGCCATTTTAACTCACAGACACTGTGTGGACTTTTCAACACGGTGCCATCTCGCCAGTATTTGTTGCACAGAGACATCGTGCGGTGGTTTTGGACTATACAGCAGGGGACACATTATACAGTGATTGTTTTTTATTTAGCCTGTATATGTTCTGCAGAATCTGCATTAAACTGTATTTTCCAAAGTACTGAACGGATCTGGGTGAATTTTGGATATGTGGTTCACCCAGATCCCCCAGTTCCAAGGATATACTTTATGGGGTTATTGCATGTTTTGGGGTCCCTGTGATGTGTTTTATGAAACTGTATTTCTCTGGCTGTGATAATTAGATTACCCATTGTGTTCAGTAATCATATCACAGCCAGAGGGGAGGATTTTGTGTGGGAGTGTCTGGGTGTATTGTATGGATTGATTGGCTGTTTTGTCACTCTGTAACTTCTGGCTTTTCCCAAAACTAAAATCACCTTTGAAAGGGAAGAGATTTTCAGACTGTCAACGAGATTTAGGCAGCTGATGACAATTCCAACAAAGGAGTTTGCAGAGTGTTTTGAACAGTGGAAGAGATGCTGGGAGAATTGTGTGAGGTCTCAAGGTGCCTACATTGAAGGGGACTGAAGCATCATTGTCCTATGTGCAAGGTTTCTTGTGTCTTGTATCTTCTTTAATAAACATCCCTATTTTTCATATTACATTGCTGGATACTTCCAGGATATACCTTGTATACTATCAAACTTAAAGAACTGCACTCCTTCAAATGAGTAAATACTGAGTGCAACCAGGCCAGGGGCTAGCACAATCACCACAAGGCTAGATACAAAAAATAAGAGAGGTCCAGGCAGTGGCATACTAAGGAGGAGGGCACAGGGGCATTCCGGTCCAGGTGCCCCTCATTAGGGCGGTGTCAATAGCTAGCATACATTTGGGCCAGTGTGCAGCCACATAGGGAACAACAGTTGTAGGGCACCCAGTGCACTAGCAGGGTGACTAGTAGAGGGGGAAGCACTCCCCTTCTGCTGGTCATTGAATGTATCATGACCGAGCAACGGACCATAATAGAGGAGCTACTGTTCCCTGTTACCTGGTCTAAAAGAAAGTGCTCACAGAGAGCACAAAATTGCAACAGTCTGGGGAGCTGCACAGAACTTCCTCTACTGCAGTTTGCGACCTGGTCATACTACATTAAGGTGCGGGGGAGGATGTGTGAATGAGAGACATGGAGGGGTTGGGGGAAGGGTTAAGATACATCGAGTGGTTGTGGGGGGGATGAATGAGGCACATAGAGGGATTGGGGGTGAATGAGCAAGTGAGACAGCTAGTGAGACACGTGGAGGGGCTGGTGGGTTAGTGAGACACATCGAGGGGCTGGGGGAGTTAATGAGACACATGGGGGGCTGGGCGTGAATGAGACACATGTAGGGGCTGGTTGGGTTGTATTGACACATGGAAGGTCTGGGGGGTTAATGAGACATAGGGTGGGGCTGGGAGGGAAAATACACAAAGAGGGGCTGTTGGCACAAAGAGTCACAGAAGTACTGAGGGGAGGACAGGGAGACACACATGGGGTGAAGGGGGACAAAAATACACATATAGGGGAAGAGGGGGAAAAAGAGAGGCACAACAAGCCACACCAGGCTGCTAGACACAGCTACAGCCAGCTTGCCTGCCAGCCACAGTATTCTGCCACAGCTCCCAGCCTGCCTGTGAGCAACTGTAATTATCCCCTTAAGGACACATGACGGAAATATTCCGTCATGATTCCCTTTTATTCCAGAAGTTGTGTCCTTAAGGGGTTAAGTTGAGAATA